TAAAGAGTAAGTACATCTTCAACTCTGCATATGCCACTATAATAGGCATTATACTCACCAGAACAAATATGAATGGACACACAATATATCAGGAACATACCTAAAATTTTTACTCAAAACTCTCAGTAAAGGGAAGTGAATTTCTGTCTGTCAATCTAATCTTGATTTAATTTGTGCTTTGACTTGAAGTACAGACCTTAGCAAGGCCAATGTAGGGTTGATAAGATGGTTAGAGAATGTGTGGAGAGCTTGTCTTGAGTGCTAACATAAAAACATTACAAGAAACTAAGATAGGCTGTGACATTACTTGTCTGTCCCAACATCTTTCTAGATATAAGTTTGGAATAAATGGGGACATACTGGCTAATATTTAAAATTAGTGTCTAAAAAAAAAGGAGCCATTTTGATCAAATAGCTGATGCAGAAGATATTTGATCCCTGACATTTGAACTCTAACTGTAAAATAATTTTCTCATGGAAGTAATAGAAAAGAACTCACTAAAATTACAAGATGTATCTTTCAAGATTTAGAAATTGAACAATTAATTATAAAATAAAGTAATAATAATAATACATTTTTCTTTTTAGTAGGATTTATCAAAGATATTTACATTTTTTAATCAACTCTGTAAATTAGGAGGCTTATATTTTTTATATGGTTTCACTCCATGCAAGGCAGTAAAGCCACGAAGATAGAAGGGGTTATAGAGTTTGGAAGAATTAGGAACAGAAAAATTAATAATGAGTGAGATGAGAAAAGAGTAATCAGGAGGACAAAGATAGCAACTGATATTGCATTTAAATCTTTGCAGATTAATATTGGCTAGAAAGCACAGAGTTGGAAAGGAGTTCCACAAGCTAAAAGTGTGACAAAAGAAATTGTTAGCAAAGAATTTATGTCTACATTTAGCCAGTTCTAATTGATTAGATCTTGATGCCAGTCTAGTAGTTTGTTTAAATTCAAGAAGTCTTGGTACTATAGTGAAGAGCGATATTTATTCTGTTTAATACAGAAATGTGGCACATGGCCGAAAAGGGGATTGGGGAAAGGACGGTCTTCTTCTGTCTTAACTATAACTTAGCTAGCCACAAACACTGACCTAATCGTACAAAAACAATATTCCTTACACCAAAACAACATATTCATTCGTACCTTTACTACAACCACCATAATACCTCTTTGTCTCTATGAAGAGTGAAGAGCTCATTCAAAAACTTAGCATGAAAGTATTTATAGAAATGACAAATTGAGGCATCCTTATGGCAGTAGGAAAGTGACTAAAGCAGAGCTGCCAGATCATGACTGATTTATGTAATTGTAAAGAAAACACATGAATCTTTAAGTTTGTAATGAAACTTTATTCAAAGCAATTCAACCACTGTTCATATGTGAGGTTTGACCATTACTTTTTATAGTAGAGTAGTTTGAGGGGGAGACAACTATGGTTGCCTTCACCTCATTCTTCCACCACTCAATTATATTCAGTCAAAGGTGATCATCTAAACATCCAGATTTTTTGCTAATTTTTCCAGAATATCATGTCTATTCAAGGAATTCAGCCCCAGTACATTGCTCAGAAGTATCTTGTTCCAACTCTTTTCTATCTTCTACTCGCAATAGGACATTCATTGTTTTAAAGTGAATCCCCATTATCAGTGCTTGGGTACCCTTGCTTGTGTTGAGCTGATCTGGTGTTGATATCAGAGTTGTTTTAATCTTCTGAGTTTTGATTCTTGAAAGAATCCACAGCATTTCATCAGTGTTATCAGTGGGGAAGTTCATGGGCTCAAAGGATGGGGAGCTTTTTTGTAGTTCTGATACCCCTCCAGAAAGTGCAAGATCTCTGAATGAGACATTTCATTGCCTCTCATTGGGGTGTCAAAATGGTAATGCTTGTAATTTTAAAGTGCTTTATTCATTTTCCTATTTATTAGGATCTGTCAAAAATATTTTCATTTTTTAATCAACTTTTAAATTTTAGAAGCTTGATAATGCAGAACCTTGTGTAAATGGATGGCAGTACCGTGTTCATTGGAGATAGCAAAAAGACAAAATTTACTAAGAGCTACAAAGGACAAAAAATTGTGGAGAGCTATGATGACACATATTAGAAGATGCTATGTTTATCATATGGTATATTTTGTTGATCTTTTTTAAAGTTTTTGGGTGTTGGTGGCAGTGGTGCATTTAGAGAGTTTGCTGCTTTTTAAAACAATATTCCAAAAATAGGACATTTACAAAATATAAAGAAAGATTATAGTTAGAGCCATTTATTTTGATTTGATTGTAGACCAAAAATGTAAAACAATCTTACTTTTAATGTCTAACTGGTGTTCGAAATATAGTTGGAGCAGAAATACTAAAAGTTTGTTCTCTCATTAAATTTATTGTTTCCAAATTAGGTAGACAGAAGTTTCAAATCACAAATCTATCATTAATTGGTCTGTGGGTAACGGGTTAACTTAAGAGAATGATTTACCTGTTATCAGATTTATAACCTTGGAAGAAAATATCATTATCCTCAATAACAGGTAATAAATCAGTTTTGTTTGTGATTACATTTATCTTCAAATAATATTTATATTGTTTTGGTCACCTTATGGTTATAGATACATCTCTGTCAGTTTGAAAATCTTAATGGATTTTGAAAATAAATATCTCACACTTCGTACATAGACATATATTTTGATAGGATTCAGATATGATTATAAAAATGTTCCTATGAAGACATGAAAACCACAAGGGCAAAAACCTGAAAGATCAAGTCAGTATCTATATTCACTCATATACAAAGTACTTTCTATTAGGTATATATACCAACGCTTTAGTCTTACAGACTAAGTGGTCTCATTTTACAGGTCAAGTGGTCTAGATTTACAGACCAATTGTTTTAGTCTTAGAGGTCAATTGCTCTAGCCTTATAGAGCAAGTGGTCTAGTCTTAGTGGACCAAGAGCCCTAGTCTTAGAGTCTAACTGGTTAATCCTTACAGACCAAATGGTCTAGTCTTACAGACTAAGGGCTTTAATCTTACAATCAAAGTCGTCTAGTCTTATAGACCAAGGGCTCTAGCTTTGCAGACCAAATGTTTTAGTTTTGCAGATCAAGTGGTTTGAGCTTACTTATCATTGTCAGCTCAATCAGCTCTCAATATTATGCTAATACAGGCATATTCAATAATACTAACCAAATTGTCTCAGAGGTAATTTCATGTCTTTCAATGTCTACAGGATGTGATGGGTAAATTGTCACCATTTTATATTTTTAATTTATTTTGTCGACTGCACAATATAGTAGGGTCAGTTGAGAAAAAGACTCTTCCAGAAATTTGGAAATGGCATGCTGTACTGCTTGGCATTCATGCTGGAAGATGCAATATGGACATTTCAGTTTGCTTTGGTGTTAATCTGAGGACAGTGCAGAGGATTCAGAAGATGTTGGATGAGTCTAATATAGATTATGAAGGTATTTGGAGTGACCCCTACTGATGGTGGTGTTATGCCTCCATTGATTTTCTCACAAAAACTCAGATTCACTACATAGGCCTACATCAAGTGCCTTGAGAAGATAGTGTTGTCCTGGGTCAAGAAGGTGGCAGCTGGAAGACCCTATGTCTGGCAAAAGGACTCTGCACCATGCGACACAAGCAGGAGAACCCAGTCATGGTTGTCAGACAATTTCTGCAACCATATCATCCCTTACTTCTGGCAACCTAACTTTCCAGGCTTCAACCTCCTTCATTATTATATGTGGAGTGCAGTCGAGTGAGAGACAAACAAAACTCCTTGTAACACCGAAGATGCACTGAAGGCAAGGATTATTCTAGTATTCACCAACTTAAACAAGGAGACCATCCAGAAGAGTTGCAGGAGATTTAAAGTCAAAGTTAATTGAATAAATTTAGTCTTTTGTATTTCAGAATATCATTGTGCAATTTTTGTAAATGTATCTGATAAAATGAGATGTCAGTGTTCTTTTCATTTTTGCGTCATTTAGATAACAATTTATCTATTGCACTCTGTATATAGTGATGACTTTTACCATATGTTGATTAATCAATTCATTTTTTATGGTTTATCAAGTCTTTGTAGGTTATTTAAAGCCAAAACCTATTTTTAGATTGTAAAAATAATTTCTTTTTGTTAGGGAATATTGAATTATCAATTATTTAGAGATCCCAATCATTTTTCTAGATACACTTCTTATTGTTTAGTCCATACCTGGGGGAGAAGAGATGGATTCATACCTTTCCCAAGTGTATTAGCACATAAGAGAATGTAATGAACTCGACTGGAATTCAAACTCGGTTCTCCAATTTCTCATTTTCTATGGCACCTCTCTTACCTTCATATGGCAATGACTATCAAGCCAGTCTCACAAATAACTTCATCTTTTCCAACATATCTACAATGACGGCTTTTGCCACAAGTCAATAGCTCAGAAATGCAATTGTCTCCCAAATAATTGCTATATATCTTTAGTGAGGGATTCTCAAATAAGCCAATGCTTCTGCAATAATAATAATGACTGACATGATACTCCCATATATCATAGATAAATTTACTTATTCATTGATCTATCAATATGGCTTCATACAAAGCATAACTAAGAGAATTTTTACACACAGACACATGCATGCACACACACACACACATGCACACACACACATGCACACACACACACACACAGGCACACACACACACACACATGCACACTTGCTGTATTGATTGATTTGTTTCACTGATTATCAAACTTTTGCAGTTTATTTAAAGTCAGAAAATATTTTTAGATATTAAGAATTTTCTGGGGATAATAATGATTTACTGATACAAGTCACACTAATTAACCCCTAGCTGAGGGGAGAAGAAGTGGATTCATAACTTTCCTATGGGTATTTACGTGTAAGTGAATATAACGAACCTAACTGGAATTTGAACATAGACCTCCAATTTCCAATTCCGAGGTGTTTTCCAATACACCACCCACATATCTAAGCTTATAGTACCTAGTATTCTTAAGTGGTCACCCATCTAAGTACTGATCAGGCTTGATGTTGCTTAACTTCAGTGATTGTACAAGAACTGGTGTTTCAACATGATCACACTTACTGTAAAAGTAAGTTCTCTTTGGTCTGGTTATAACTTACTATGTTATTTAATTAATTTTTATAATTAGTCATATACAAAATTAAATTATTTAATAAATGAATAGCAATTACTTATTACATATATAAACTATAAAGTTAAATTTTAATTTATGGTTTTTGCATTTAAATCACAAAATGCCAATAATCCTCTCATGTAAATTACTATTTGAAAATTTGCTTCTGCTGGATTTGAACACATCCCACTGAATATGAAAAGCAACTCTGTGGTGTTATATCCATGACACCACCCCTCTGGTCATACACATCATTATTACCCATGCTTAGCATCTGTTCTTCAGCCAGAGTTGCTGAATCATAGTTGAAACCCTCTGTGATCCATAAAAAGACATTACTTTTGTGCATGCTTTATGACCTTTGTGCTTTTCATCAAGTCAACAGAATTTTATGAGTCCCCCACCTCCACAATCTGACCATTATGGCTCCTGGCATTAGATTCATTGTCCAGATATCTTACAACACTCATCCACAATGACCCTATATATGAACTGGTTCCCTTTTTGATGGCCTAATAAATGTATATAAAATGAGTCTGCTGGCTCATAGTTGCTCGTTGATAAATAAACGGGATGCCTTGGTCAAATGCTAAAATTAGTCCTCTAGGCACACAATAAGTTCTTTCAATTTCCCAGCATCCCCATTACTCAAACTGATCTTAAAAATGCACATTTATAAATTTACAAAAGAAGCAACTGTAGCACAATAATTAGAGTGCTTCTCTTGCATGTTATTGATAATGGCTATATTGGTGTTTGTGAAAAAAAAAATTCACAGTTATGTGCTGATATTTCAATATAACTAAAGAGAAAGAGAAAATGTGTTACTGACAGGACATACTGAAGGCAAGAAGAACAGAAGAAAACAATGGACTGGGTTGGTGCATAATTATCAGGCATTTTTAAATAATATTTATTATGAAAAAAGAAATATAACAATTCAACAATAATATTTTTAAATGATTATACCAGAGCGTATTATTATCAACACACATTTTTATAACCTGAAAATAAAACTTTTATTTAAAAAAGTAAACAAAACAGTAATTTTTCTTTCCAAATAAACTTGCCTACAAAAACACCTGATAATTATGCACCAACCCAATATAACCTAGCTAGCAAGTTTGAGTAAATAAATTGCAGAACCCAAAATTTATTACAAGCTACAAAGAACAGGAAATTATGGAAATCCATGATCACCAACACTATGAAGGGATACAACACATAGAAGAAGAAGAAGAATTGTATATTCAAAATGAAAATCAATACCATAAGGAATTAAGATATTTTCTTTTATGTTCTTTGTCCTTTCAAGACATAGGTGATCATGGCTTTTCCCAGCTTCCTTTGTAGCTCTAATTAATGCTTTTCTTCTTAATATCTCTCCCAATCCCTGTTCTGACATCCATTTGCACAAGCTTGTTAGGCAAGAATTCTGCTAGCAATTTAAAAAACAAAAGTTTCTATTTAAGGGAGTCATCGTTGATTAAAACTTGACTGAATTTATTAATTTGTTCTTATTTTAGAATGTCAAACCCACACCCCACCACACAAAATTTAAATCTATATACATTTCCATGTGAGACTTTTCAGTTTCAAACTTACCATTTCATTGTGAAGTTGGTTGTAAATGATAGTGGTTCTCACATCCAATGGTTGACCAATACAAGATGGCATTGCTGATCTGTCTACATCAATCAGATTGGATATTTAAATTAAAGTAGCCCAAATCCTCATGTAGGCATTATACTGATATACATCTTCATTGAGGGCAATGGAATGTTTGGCTCTGGGATATTTATTGGTTACATAAACTTGTCATTTTTGTGTTAATTTTCTCAGATTATACATTTTCAAAATATGTACAAGTGTGTGTGTGTATATATATATATATATATATATATATATATATATATATGTATATGTATATATGGCTTGGTTAGTATCACACTTAAGAAAGCACCAATGAAATATGTCTTCCCCTTACCTGATTTTTTTCCACGGTGTATGGTGCCTTTTGTTGCTTGCTAGCAGCCCCTGCTAGCAAGCATAAGTGCAAAATGAAAGACACCATCCGCTGCTGACCTTCATCTATTGTTAATGATAGGAGAGTCCACCATATATATATATATATATATATATATATATATATATAGATAGATAGATAGATAGATAGTAATATCAAATCTGTAAATGGAAAGGTTAATCCAAGTAGGTTAAAAATTATAAATCCATGAAGAGAATTCAGTGTATTGTATACAAACCAATATGATATACATCAAAGGAAAAAAACTCATCAGACCGAAATGGTTTTTATAATTTCTGTCTGATGAGGCAAGTATTAAAATCTTACCTTCTGAAATAAATTTATTACTGGATTTTTTGATAATGAGTTAATTTTTTTCCTATAATATACACAGTTGTACATATTTTGAAAATGACACCTCTGAAAAAAAAAATATATACTAGTGTATATATATATATATATATATATATATATATATATATATTAAGAAATGGACAAGGTCCGACAATTTATTTATTAAAGACATTTTATTATGTTTAACGTTGTTTTTTTATAGATACAAGTATTTAAGCAAATGCTCTGTTTATGATAAAACAGTAATAAATAACATTTACCGGCCTGAATGTCCGAGAAATTTTCATAAAAATATTTTCTTTGAAAATTTTCGAACCTTCATCCTATACGGAACCGTCATATACGCTGACGTGCCTTACCGCTTATCATAAACAAGCATTCGGTAGACAAGGTCGAATTTACTGCTTATAAACAACTTTCCATGAATCTAATTCATAACTGTCTTTATCGAATATTTTCTAAAAATTTCTCGGACATTCAGGCCGTAAATGTTATTTAATACTGTTTATCATAAACAGAGCATTTGTTTAAATACTTGATCTATAAAAGAACAACGTTAAACATAATAAAAATGATTTAATAAAAAATTGTCGGACCTTATCCATTTTTAATATATGACGTCATTTGTTTACATTCGATACGCCAGAGCAGTTATGAATGTACGGTAAGGCACGTCAGCGTATATGACGGTTCCGTATAGGATGCAGGTTCGAATCCTGTCAAAGAACGAATATTTTCTATGAAAATTTCTCGGACATTCAGGCTGGTAAATGTTATTTAATACTGTTTATCATAAACAGAGCATTTGCTTAAATACTTGTATCTATAAAATAACAACGTTAAACATAATAAAATGTCTTTAATAAATATATATATATATATATATATATATATACTAGTGTATATATATATACTAGTGTATATATATATATATATACATATATACTAGTATATATATATATATATATATATATATATATATATATATATATATATATGAAATAACGGTATATATTTTTATATATGAAGAACAATATTGGGGAAATATGCATGATAATGTGGAAAAGTTTCATGCTTCGTCATTTAGGACTACATCCGACTAAATTTGTTATGTTGGTGTGACTACAAATGCACATGAATGTGTGCTATGAGGAATTTTAAATTTTTTTTAAATTAAAAAAATTTTTTGATTTAAAATTTCCAGCATCCCTCATTTGTGCACATGTGTAGTAACAAATTTAATCCAATGAAGTCAAAATGGATAAAAAGTGCCATAAGGATTACTTTTAATTTTGTCATCTACACAGTATGGTAGGGTCAGTTGGGCACTGTCTGTGAGAAAAAGAGCACCATGGCACAAATCACTCAGTCAGAATTTTGGAAACGATATGCTGTACTGCTTAGCATTCACACCAGAAGCTCCAATACAAAAAATTCAGTGTTTTTGGGAAAGAATTGGATGAGTCTAATGGTGATTATGAAGGTATAGCAGCTTGGGAGTCTCACTCTAAATATTCTGATAAGAAAAGAACAACCAAATTTGTTGGTGAGTGCCTCAGATTCAACATGGAGGCCTACATCAAATACCTTGAGGAGATAGTGCTACTGATGGCTGCTGGAAGACCTTATGTCTGGTAACAGGACTCTGCACCATAATACACAAACAGGCAAATCCAGTCATAGCTGCCAGACAATTTCTATAACCACATCGCCCCTTACGTCTGGTCACCTAAATTCCCAAGGAGGTTCATAACCTAAGTGGTTCTAAACCTCCTTGATTACGTGTGGGTGCAGTTGAGCAAGAGACCAATAAAACTCCATGTAAAACCAAAAATGAACTGAAGTTGTGGATTATGGCAGCATTCTCGAACTTAAACAAGGAGACCATCCAGAAGAGTTGCAAGAGATTCTAAAGGTGTCTGGAGGGCGTGGTTGATGCCAGTAGCAATTTTATTGAATAAATTTACTCTCTAGTATTTGAAGATATTTTTATGTAATTTTGGTAAATATATCTGTTAAAATGAGATATCAGTGTTATTTTCATTTTTGCATAGAGGATAATTTAACCATCACACCCTGTGTATATGTATGGGCTAATATATATACACACACACACACACACACACACATACACACACACATATATATATATATATTTTTTTTTTTTTTTAAGTATTTCACCTCTAGCAAGGCGGGAATCCACTAGCATGCAAGGGGTTACAGAGGATTTGGAGTGAGAGCAGATAGGAATGATAGAGGAAAGGATGGGGAGAAGGATAGTGGGTAGATCAAGGCAACTGGAGATGTCAATTGACATTACATTTGAATAGTTCGAGATTATAGCTCTCAGGGAAACTGGAATAGGGAAGGGTGTTCCACAGGCGAGATGTGCGAGATATGAAGCTATTGGAGTAGAAGAGACGGCTATATTTAACAGTTTCAACAGTGAAAGGGTGAGAGCGGGATGCCAGCCTCATAGGACGCTTGAATTCGCGAAGTCTGGGAACCAGCGAAAGTAGCTCATTGGAGCAATTACCATGAGAGTATTTGTAA